TTCTTTATAGATTGGCAAAATCTCTCTCTCATCCTATCTGGATGGATCTTAATCTTCTTTACCTAATGGGCATTAGTCTTTAGTAATTTTCTTCTCTATTTCTTGGATATAGCTATTCATGTATCTGAGCGTTAGATGACATTCAATCTCTCTCCCTGGGATACTATATGTGACATCCCCGTTTTTCACGACTAATTTAAAACTTTTTTCTTTATGCTTATTTTATTTAGAGTGTGAAAATTATTGCGTAATTTGTTAACATACATGATAATATTATTATCAAAACATTTCCGAGGAAATGTATTTAATTTATATTTAAAACCAAGGGATGTCATTGTCAATACAGATACAAAAGCATAAGCAAGTCTTAATAGGTCTTACAACATCTTATTATACTAATGGCCTACAAACTCCTCAAATCACTCATCATCCAAGTGCCTTCGTACCGCTAACTGTGATACAAAAAAACTAAGTGGGTCAGGTTTGGGGGCTGGTGAGCACATAAGACTTTCAACCTACAATAATTAAGTTCCTTTAATTATATAATTCACGTCAAATAATTAACCCGATTATCAATTCTCGTTATTCTCACATATTGAATTATTGATACTAAAATATTGATCTCAACGGACCTATCCAAAGGATCATCGTCATCAACGGGTAGATAATACTGATTCGGGGATTCCTATTGCAATATGTGTCAATAAGGTAAGCATGGGGAATAGAGTACATAAATGAACATGTACTTCACTAATAGCTAAAGGTTATGAGCCTGTCAGCGTTCCACTGACTGTCTAGAACAGTCTGTGGTCGTCATCTAAACTCTGGTAGATGACTGGTTCATCAATAGTCAAGTCCTCTCATCACCATCTAATCATTTTCATCACCCATTACTACCCAATATAAATATATAAGAAAATACATATATGATTAAATCAAGTAAAAATCATATAATTTATCTAACACAAATATCAAGTAATTCAGATAATAGGCACACATAACATTTAATCATCTGGATACTATATAGCTATGTGTAAGCGGAAGTAACTATGCACTCACCTGATAAAATGAATGAATGGAAATTTGGCTAGCGCTTCGCTTTAGCACTTGACTTTCTTTTGATGTGACCTAGGTTTAATTATCATTAAGTCTTAGTTTATTATTTCATATGACTAATTAATAGTATAGATTCCTCAACAATCACAATGTCTACAACAAGATCTATCAAGTAAGGAGCAACCAGATGTCGGGTGATGACGTGGCTTACTAAGATCGTGACTTGTGGCTAAATCTTAGGGGTTGTCAGAGGCGTGTCGTGCCCTCTGTCTGTGTACGTGGTTTGCGGGCAAATTTTTATAAAAATCTTAGACAACTCATGTCTTCTTCATACGAGCTCTGTTTTTGATGCATTTTATATCCACGCGTAGCTATCAACAAGATCTACAACATTCGTTTAGACTAAGTCGGCTAATTTTTATTTTATTTTTAAATTTATATTTTTAATAGGCTTAGACTGTTAAAGTCCATTAAAAATTCATAACTCTTTCGTCCGACATCCGTTTCCGACTGTCTTTATATCGACGAATAGGTATTGATGAGATCTTCAACTCTTGTTCTGATTGTTCGGCTAGAAATCAACCGATCAAAAATTCGATTTTTGTGCTAACACAGTTACGCTGAAATATTAGAAAAATCATAAAGTCCTCTCATGAAGTTAGATTTAGACGTTCTCTATATGCACGCTCTCGGTTTTACGATTACTACGACTAGATCACTTGGGCTAATAAGCGATTTATCTCCGATTCACTATTTAGGACCCTCGATGCCGTATCGGGTCGAACGTGAAACTTCAACGAATCGTAACTTCTAAGTTCTAACTCCGATTTGAGCGTTCCTTATATGCACAAAATCCTCATCACGACTACTTCAACTTTCATCAAGGTTATTTGACCTAATAATTATTTTATTTATGATGCGTATTTTATTTCTTATTTTATTATATCGCTTTAAGCATGTATACTACATATAACTACACATAGAACACATAATACTCAATAATTCTCTTTATTTACTTCATATAAAGGTTACAATTGTTGACCCTTACAATTAAATCATGTTATTAATGCCTAGGGAGAAAACGCAGGCGTTACACTATAATATGTCACATCATGACTATAGCATTTAATTTATTCTTCTTTTCGGTGATAACAAGTGTTTTTTGGTTGAGAGGGTCTATCTAAACCGAAGGGTTGGAATTTGTGGTTGGACATATGATTTTTGTTGTGTGGCTATCTTTGTTTCTACTTTATGTCCTTTCTTTTGCTCATGTATTCTTGCTACCATTGTCCATCCTTACTCCTATTTTATTTTGGTAATTTGTTTTTCCTTCATGTTTTGCATCCAAATCATTATAAATGTATCAATTTATGAACTAGAATATCATTTACACAATTAGACGCTAAAAACCAAATGGAAACTAAATATTCAACCAAACTAAATATTCAACCATTGAATCCATAATTTCAATTTTCCAAACTTTGATTTTCTTAATCCTTAAGTTTGTGCATCCATAATGAATTTATTACAACAAAATCTCATTAATGATTATAGGATCTATCAAAAATAGCTTAAAAACTTTATCATCACACCTTGATATTCTATGGTTCATGGCTACGTTTTTACCCAAACATCAAATTCGTGAAGTGAATGATAGATTTGAGCTTAGAACCATATAAACTACTAAATGAGGGTTAAAAACAAATCCCTAACCATCAATTTGACCTAAAAATGAAATTGAATTTCTACCCCTTTCATAAACTCGAAATTGAAGATGAATGGTGAAGAATTATACCTTGCAAGCCTCGTTTTCATTCACTTCTTGCTTTAATTGATTGATAACTGCTTTGATCAAACCCTATATGATGAAAGAGCACAAAATGACTATTAGAGAGCTTCTTCTCCTTTCAAAACCGTTTCTAATATGGTTGTGCAAAAAACCGCACCACACTACACCACATAATGCGGTTTTAAACGTCTGTAGTGCGGTTTGCGTTTTGTAAATTTTATAAACCGTACTATGCGGTTCGGTTTGCGGTTTATAATTAAAAAATTGTTGCTCAAACTGGACCGCATTATATATATATATATATATATATATATATATATATATATATATATATATATATATATCTCCCTAACTAATAAACGAAAGTAAACTGCCACGTATCTCTTCAAAAACATTAATTCTATCCAATGCTAAATACCGTTTTTGTCTCTCTTTGATTTCACTTTCTATAATGTCCATGTCAAAATAAATCAGCATTTAATATCCGATTTTTATGGTATTTATGGTATATGATCTCTATCTAAATTTAATGTGATACGTTTGAAATAGATACCAAATTCAGTCCTCCAATTTTAAATAATTAATACAAAAAGTTTTAAACAAACTTAAATCTTATAATGTTTATAAATTTTTTACCCGTGGTTCCCACGGGTTGTAACATAGTATATATATAATACGTGCCTAATTTTGTAATAATAAAATAATAAAACATATGGTATTTATTGGTTACATGTTTTAATTCCAAGTTTATATAAATCAACTCTAATTTATTTATTTAGTTATTACAAAAAAAACCCTTTATAAATACATCAAGTTAATTTCTTTTTTAATCTTAGTTGAAAACATTTTTAAACTATGTATTACTTTTACTCATTAACTAACGACTCTTAATAGTGTAAAATATGTCATTTTATTACATTCTTTTATTCAAGGTTCGTGGTTATATGGTTATATGGTGTCTTCAAAACAAAACAGAGTAAAGTATAATTTCATGAGAAAAACTAGAAATATAATCGTTGTCTTCCTTGTCTATTAATAAATCTTAAATAATATATATTAAGATGCCTTTAAACCGCACAAATCGCATTAACCGCTCGCATAAACCGCACCGCATATCGCGGTTTAGACGTTCCGCGGTGCTGTTTCCAATTTCCAATAATCCTAAACCGCATATGCGATGCAATTTGCGGTTTCGAATCTAAACCGCACCGCAAACACCTTTTATAAAGGAGTGGGTTAGATGACATATCTTATTTGCCCAAGTTATATATATATATATATATATATATATATATATATATATATATATATATATATATATATATATATATATATATTTCACTTTTAACCTTTAATTGTTATGATTTCAACATTTAATATTCCAAACTTTTAAATCTACTAATAATGTGACCATTTTTTTTGTTATTTAAGTATTTAATGTTTATTTATTTATTACTTTATAATTTTTTTATTAGTTTAAAGTGTTTTCATTTTTCTAGAAATGTTTTCAGAAAATAAAGTTGAGTTTCTTTCTCAATTTTCAATGAAACTTTTTGTAAACGCGTTTGGTTGGAACCTATGAAGTTCTCATTTTTTTCATCTTAGAAATTTGGAAACTTTTGCAAAACTATAAAAATCATTTTTTCTAATTTACATATAATTTGGAAAACAAAAAAATTTACATTTTTTTGGAATTTTTTTGAAAGCTAAATACACAAAACGCGTTTTCAAAATTTCCATGGAATACTATAAAATTTTCTGCAACCAAACATTTTAAATTTTCTTGGTTTTACAAAAGCCTCAAAATTTTTAAGCCCGACAGAATATTAGGATTAAATGTATGGCTAAATAAGCAACTATTAAAACAGAAATCTGTAATCGTGCCAATCTGTTGTAAATTTTATAAATAGAAATCCCTCGGAAAATCAGTAGGTAATCGGTCGATCATCGGGGACGAAATTCAGCGCTGATGGCCTGATGCCTTGTATTATTCTAATAGAGCCATAGTAAAATATAAATTAAATTTGATGTTTATCACTTATCTTAATTTTCTTCCACTAAAGACAAATTCTAATCGGTCATAATTGGTAGGAAGTCAACATAAACACAGTCTACATATCCATCGAACAACAAAGTAATCCAAATCACATAATCAAAAAAATCAAATCAAACTTTGATCTTCCAATGCATCTCTTCTCCTTACAACAAAATTATACTATCTTAGCTGGAGCTTTAGCCATAATTTTCACCCTTTTCATCTTATCATCACTAGTTCCTAAAACCGGTCAATACAGAGCTCCACCTAAAGCCGGTGGTGCATGGCCAGTAGTAGGGCACATCAACATTTTTACAGGCTCCTCCGGTCCCCACAGAGCCTTGGCAGCCATAGCTGCTAAATATGGCCCGATCTTTACAATCCGGCTCGGCATACATAAAGTATTGGTAGTTCATAGTTGGCAGATTGCGAAGGAGATTTTCACCACTCATGACACAATAATCTCCACTCGTCCCAAATACTTAGCCTCAAAAATCTTTGGGTATAACTATGCGATGTTTGGAGTCGCTCCTTATGGTCCATATTGGCGTGAAATGCGTAGGATCATCTCCTTTGAGCTGTTATCTAGCAGTCGCCTTAACCAGCTTAAGGATGTTCGAGTCTCTGAACTAGAGAGCTGTATCAAAAACTTGTACAATCATTGGAGGGAAAAGAAAGATGATCAGGGAAAAGTATTAGTAGATTTGAAGAAATGGTTTGGGGAATTCAATATGAACGTTGTTCTTAGACTTGTAGTTGGAAAACGATTTAGTGGAGCTACAGATGAACAAGAAGAGAAAGAGATGAGTAGAAGTCGTGAGGTGATGAGGAAGTTTTTTTATTTCATGGGCCTTTTTGTGGTAGGGGATACGCTTCCTTTTCTAGGCTGGTTGGATTTGGGTGGTCATGAGAAGGCTATGAAAAAAGTCGCATATGAAATTGATGTTATGGCGGAGAAATGGCTAGATGAACATCGTAGAAAGAGGGATTCTGGAGAAGCTTTTGAGGAGAAAGACTTCATGGATGTGATGATATCGACAGTAGAAAAGGGTGGCTTCGAGAATTATGATGCTGATACTATTATTAAGTCTACATGTATGGTATGTTCTGATGCTATATATTTACCTTACGTACTAGGTTAAACATATGTATGTATGCAAATAATTAAAAATGTTTGCATCTTGCAGGTTCTAATTGCGAGTAGTGCAGATACAACCACTGTGATGCTTACATGGATGATGTCGCTGCTATTGAATAACCCCCAATCTCTCCGGAAAGCACAAGAAGAAATAGACAAGATCGTTGGAAAGGATAGAGAAATAAATGAATCAGACATCACCAATCTGGTCTACTTACAAGCAATTGTAAAAGAAACACTGCGACTGTATCCAGCAGGACGTCTTGGAGGCATGAGAGAATTTACAGAAGATTGCATGGTAGCAGGCTACCATGTCCCAAAAGGCACATGGTTAATGGTCAACCTGTGGAAACTCCAACAGGATCCAGAAATATGGTCAAACCCATCGGGGTTTAGGCCCGAGAGATTCCTGGAGGGGAATCATAAGCATGTTGATGTTAAGGGGACAAATTTTGAGTTGATCCCATTCGGTGCTGGAAGGAGGTCTTGTCCTGGAACAGCTTTGGCACTTCAAATATTACATCTGGTTGTTGGTACTTTGCTACAAAATTTTGATATTAGTACACCAGATGATGGGCCAATAGACATGGCAGAGACAGCTGGGTTAACAAGTGCGAAGGCATCTCCTCTTGAAGTTCTAATTTCCCCACGGATTTCATGTACTACTATTTAAGTGGTTGGTTGTTCTAGCTCTGGGGTATACTATTCAATGCATGTTGTATGTGATGTAATGTTATATGATCATGTGTTACGAATGTGATAAATAAAATACCTTAACTATTGTGTCCCATGTTTATAACGATGTATGTTGATCTAGCCACCATCTTCAATTCTCATTATTACTCAAGAATCGATTACACCCATAGATTGTTAATACAACTATTTGCTACTATAACAAATAACATGAAAAGGTAAGAACAATTTCAGGCTCTTGATCTTCAACAATCGTGTTGTTGTGATCAATACTTTTGATCACGGGTAATTATAATTATGTATCTAACTACCCATTAACTACCCATCACTACTACACAAGTGATTCAATAATGCGAACCATTCTTTATTGTTGAGGCGGTTGATGGTAAAAACCGCCACATTAAATGTATAGAACATTAAATAATCCACGAACCGCTTTAAAAAAACACCAGATAAATTTCCAGAAGCTTTTGTTAAGGCTGTTAACAACGAATAGCATCAAAAAAAGAATTTTTAGTGCTACTTCATGTAAAAGCATCATTAAATAAGGATTTTTTGATGCTCTTTTTATAAAAGAGCATTATTAAATCTTTATCTTTTGATGCTATATTTTGAAAAACGCATCAAATGAAAACGCTATGATTTTTTAGTGCTACTTCATGTAAAAGCATCATTAAATAAGGATTTTTTGATGCTCTTTTTAATAAAATAGCATCATTAAATCTTTATCTCTTTCCCTCCAAAATTTTCGTTTTAGCTTTCTAAAAACCTTCCATAGCCGCCACCAAATTCCACACAAATCGCATCAGTAAAACCTAAAACCGCCCCAAATCATCTCTTTCCCTCTAAAATTTTCGTTTTAGCTTTCTAAAATTTTCGTTTTAGCTTTCCCTCTAAATAACCCAGTTCCCTTTGTTACAATCGAGTCCTAAATAAATAACACCCATTTCAGCGGATTTCCCCCCTATGGCGGTCGAAAAATTCTAATCTCCCCCCAAACCTAAGTTCCTCTCGCCTTCAAAAAAATTCTAATCTCCCTCCGACCTAGGTTTCCCTCCCACTGGAAAATTTTGTGATTAAAATCCAACTGACCCCTCATAAATCTATGGCTTCATCAACCATTCATATTCCTAAACGTTACTGTTATCTCCATTTCGCATCTGATGAAACCACTAAATCCTCTGCTTCTTCTTCATAAATGAGAATTTACTCCTAAGAATTCATCGTCATCTCTTTTACTTCGACTAAACTTCTCCCTAGTGCAAAACCCTAAATATCTCCATCCTTGTAGCAGTAGATTTCAGGGTGCCAGGATTCAGTCTCAAAATAAACGCAATCAAGTATGTCCTACACCTTCTGCATCAACTTCTTCCAACTATAGTATTTTTTCCCTAAAAAAGGCTATGGAAGGTACGCAATATTGATCACATTAACTATTCAATTAAAGAGCATTATTCAATTTGGTGATTTTTTTTTCGATTTCATCAAGTATAGTTGAAATAATCATGTTTTGTGTTGTTTTTCTTTTATTTAAACCGGGATTTCTATGACTTTTCAAGGAGGATCGATAGATATGAGAAAAGTGATTCAACATGAAGATTATATTAGAGGATGTGGAGCATATTTACATTTAGGAAGCAGAAGTAAAGAAGGAAATGATGATGGGAAGAGAGATGATGGCAATGAAGAGAGGAGGTGTTCGATCAGGAAAATTAGTGCATATCTGAGCGTGGTTTACTGGAACATCTTGCAAGAAAGAAACATCAAGCCAAAGTGGCATATTTGACAACCGAAAACTCCGTCAAATCCATGGAGTCTGCTGAGAACTCATCTGAATGTGTTCCAAATGATTCAAAAAAAGATAAGAAACCACCACCACTGTCATTACTAGCTATTGCAGGTTCAAGTGAGCTTTTAAAGAAGAAAATGGAGTGGATATGTCTATATAAGACGGTTCTACATTTTCTAATGCTGTTGACTAACAGCATCAACAAATGATTGATGATATTTTATGTTGCCATTCGTATTCTATTTTAAAAGGCGGTTTATTTTCTAAGGCTGTTCAATAACAGCATCAAAAAATAAGTCTATTTTATGAAGCTATATTTTGTAAGGCGGTTTTGGACAGCATCAAAAAATAAGTCTATTTTATGAAGCTATTTTTATGAGGCGGTTTTGGACATTTTCTAAGGCGGTTCTAGAACCGCCTAAAAAAACAACACTATTTTATGATGCTATATTTTTTTGAAGCGGTTCAATAACCGCATCAAGAAATAAAAAAACCGCTTTATTAAACCTCTTCTGTACTAGTGCATGATCAACAAAATTGATCACAACCACACGATTGTTCAAGATCAAGAGCCTAAAATTGTTCTTACCTTTTCATGAATTATAATTACCCATGATCAAAAGTATGGATCACGACCCAACGTTTCTAAAAGATCAATTGAATTGATCACACCCACATATTTCTAAAAGATCAATGACCTGAAATTGTTACTACATCACGTAATTTGCTATTCTCAAAGGAACTTAAGTCTCTCTCTCTCTCTCTCTCTATATATATATATATATATATATATATATATATATATATATATATATATGTGTGTGTGTGTGTGTGTGTGTGTGTGTGTGTGAAGGGATACTCACTAAGGATACAAAAGATACACTAAATGACTTAGCAGACATCCTTATTTATAGTGAAGGGATCAAACCTAAAACCCTAATGGTGTGAACCAATCATAATCCGCCATGCATAAGCTTCTAAAACATTAATCCTTATTTACTTTGCATGAGCATCAACAACACACATGATGGAGCATCATGATCCATAGTGGCTCATCATGATGCAAGGGTGGTACATCAAGATCACCATTGCTCATCAAACTTCATTGTGGCACATCAATCAATAATCTCTGAGCATCTTCACAGCACTCTTGAACAATCTTGAGCATCATAGAGGACTTCATATCATAAGTGGTTCATCAAGGGATAGCATGACTTGTCAGGAACACATACGGTACACCAGGAACATGTGTGGCGCATCAAGTCACTTAATGACACATCATAATGCACAAGTGGCGCATCATGATAATTAGTGGTTCATCCATGCTTCAACAACATGTCAACAATACATCAATACTCCGGAGTACTCCATGACACACTAGAGTAACGCACCTTGTGCAAAGATGGCGCACCATGTGCATGAATGGTGTACCTTGCGCCCAAGGTGGCACATCTTCCTTAATCATGGCACACTAGCTTCAAGGTGGTGCATCCTCCTTCAAAAGTGGTGCATCTCCTTCTCATGTGGTGCAACTTGCTACCCAATGGCACACCATACTACATAATGGCACACCATGCCTTATAAGTGGTGCATATCCTTCTCAAGTCATATTTAATAATCTCCACCTTGACTTGCACATCCCATGAAGTCCATCTTAAGCAAGAAATTCCTATCCCTTACTGCCATCAAGACCGAAAGGGGCTTACCACCTGCAAATATTAACCAAGTCCAAACAATCTTAAACTTCCCTGTGGGCAACATACTTGTCACCATGTCTTCCAGATTGTCATTGGCACCAGAATTTTGAATGCATAACTTGTCGTAGAACATCATAGGTTTCTCCACCTTCAAAAGAATACTCTAAGCAAGACCAACCATTAGTGGTCTTCTTATCTCTAAATCAATTTCATGGTCCGAGTCAATCAATCCAACTAAGTTTGTATGTCGTGCATTGGCACCATACACATGAAAACATCAAGCGTTCCCTTCAAGTGTCGCAAGATCTACTTGACAACTTCTCAATGAGCTTTTTCCCGATTGCCTCGAACCACCAAAGAAGTACCAACAAGTTTGGACTGATCATAATAGAACGACCACAAGACTTTCTCAATGCAGTGAGATATGTATAATCATATTGATCTTCTATCTCTCCGAATCTTAATCGTTCTTATCTTTGTAACACCCTGTTTCCGATCGTTTCTTAATTTAAGGTTTGTGGACTGGAATTCGATTACATAAGGGCTTTGGGCTTTGAGGAAGTAACGTTTAGAACTTATTGAAGGTTGATAATATTGGTTATGAGATCTAAGCCCTTTATTTGTGTATTGGAACCAAAAGGTGAAAAAGGAAAAGTTATGTCGGGCTTCTTGCATGGATACTGGTTTTAGTTCGACATGTGTGTAAGCCGAAAGTAACTAGATAGAATTGTGGGGCTCTTCAATATCTTTCTGTGCATAGAAAGAACGCCGAAAACAGAGTTCAAACGAAGAAGTTATGGTTGTTTGAAGATTGAATTAGAAGTTGGGTGTTTTGCCCTACGTAGGGTGTAGGAGATCTACGTAGGGTGTAGATGTTGAAGTTTTGGACGCGGGTTTAATGAACTACACATGTTGTAGTTTATGGTACGCAGGGCGTAATCGCAGCATATCAAAAACCTAATTCTATGGTTTTGAGACCTATTTAAGGGCTCTAACTTCTTGGGAACCTTCTCATGACCAGCCTCCATCAGCTAAGACCATTCCTTGAGAAACTCTAGCATCATCTTACTTGTTTTGAGCCTTGGAATCATTTTTGAGCTTATATCTCCATTGGAAGGTTGAATCTTGAAGAACAAGGTGGTTGCAAAGTGCATCGAAGAAGGGTTCAAGTATAGATCTAACAATGTAGCTTCATTCCTAAACTATTGTGAGTAAAAAGCCTATAACTTGCTCATTAATTTCTTAGATCCTGTTATTGATCATTTTTGTTACCTTTTGGTCCCTTGAGATTTTGTTTTGGGAGTTAAGAGAGCTTCATCACCATTTTAGCTATATGGAACACTCTTTGGGCATATTGGACTTGGAAAGTTGTGCTTAGGTGCTTGTTCATTTAAACATGCAAGTTGTGTTAGCATTTTTGCTCATTTTAGTGCATAAAGTTTAGATCTTGCTTGACTGGAGTGTCTTAATGGATAACATTGGAAACTTTATCCGTGAAGACATTGTCGACTTCTATATTTGAAAGTTTGAAGGATTGACTTTCTGTAT